TGCACCATATCAACCGGGATGACATCTCGGGAGCCTCCTTGGATGTGTAAACAAACTTATATCTTTAAAAGAACAATATGCTGTCCTCACTAAAGTTTGTTGCAGGCAACGTAATTTCAGCTAGCTTAACATTCTTTATTCCCAGCACTTCATCCTACAAGAACAAGAAACAGGCTGCTTGTTGTGTTTGGCAGGATTTAATGATGAAAATAAATTCTCTCTCTCTCTCTCTCTTTTGTAAAACTGTACAAAGAAAAGGAATATAAAATACACAATGAAGACGTGTTCCATTACACTGGGAGACTATCATTGCTCTAGTGAAAGATACATGACCACAGATGAAGCATCTGCTGAAAAAATACAAGCATCTACCAGCCTTCATATGCTTTAACTCAAAATAGTGTCAAAACTTACTAATACACATTAAATGTATAGGAACTTATGCATGAAATCGATATTGTGCCCATATGGAAAAGATATATATAAATCTTGTAAAGTTTGTATCTGTCTTGTGTGAAACTTGTGTGAAAAGCATATAAGAGTGAAAACAGATATAAGATCCCTTGAAAAATTATATAATGAAACTTGTATGTTTTGGATACTTACTAAAACAATGTATGAAAGTAATGAGAAAGTGGCCACTTTCATGAGTAAATCATGTAAGCCTTATATGATTTAGTAATCACATGTAAGTTTTTACTATTTCTTTTCCATATGGGTGGACTTTAACACCAGGATTGCAGAGATTGCCATCAGATTACAAATTTATGAAGGGGACGACTTGTGATGACAGTGGTGGCATAGCAACTGGTCACTGCGGATTTTATGTGAAAGCTGTAGATGTCCCAGTCATCCTGAGAAAAAACGACAGGCTTAACCAATCTCATGACTGGTTTCAGTGGAATTTCATTGGTCTCACTGCAAAAACCTTCAAATTATTTTTCATCTAGTCTTCATGGCACACACGCAAAAGAGCATGACACTCACTTACATTTATTTGCTGAAGACCAACTTTTTATGCATCATAAGGGGAGTTATTAGAAACATCCAACACATGTTTCCATAGTTCAAACAACCAAACAAGCCAAATTTACTTTAACCAATCAACACCATCATCAAATAACAAGCCTGAACAATTAAAATGAGATCTGTGATTGTGGATGCACAGAAAGGATAATGAAGACATACAAACACATACAGTTAGAAATTCTTCACTTTATGGGACATTACATTATTTCATATTGCTTAGCAGAATACTTCATCTTACCCCAATCCTTCTTTTTATCTCCAAACTAATGCACAACTGCCAGTGTTAATGTGTCAGCTGACTTGTACACAAACACCACACATGAACAACATGATATAATCCTGAGAATAGTCATGAGAACCTTCAACCCCCACAGAGTTTGGTGTTGAACTGACAGAAAGATGCTGAGACGCAAAATATTCAATCACACACCTCAGATATCTCATTATTTGTGAAATATGAATTGCAGAGGTACATAAAAAGTTTGTTTTGTTTTCTTTTGTTTTTGGCTTTTAAACTATTTATTTAACTCTTTATATTTAATTTTTAATTATGGATCCTTAAAGTGGTGCTATGGCCATTTATGTATTTTGACCCTGTTTGGCAGTGTGGAAGTCAAAGCCAGCTGCAGCCCAATGAGAGTGAACTGCACCACAGTTCTCCCCATGATGCCTCCTAGCAGAGCACAAACACAGATGAAACTGTCTTTTGAAGTCAAACAAGGACAAGATTATTGTGTACATAATTTTTTTTAACGGGCAAACTTTCTCTCCCTCTTCTTTCACCTCCCACCCATGCAAGATACTCCCCCAAAGCAGTTATTTACCAGAAATCCAGCAGTTTCGGTAAACTTTATTGTTGACACTGAGGGTCAAACCAGTGCACATCACAAGGACTTTGTGATGTGCACAGTTTTTTGTTGTTGCTTTTTTTCATAAAGAAAACATTTTCTTAAATAAAATAATTACAGTCCAATCTCAAACCAAATCAAATAATATCAAATAAGTAAATATATATATATATATATATATTGTGTTGTGACTATATATATCTTTGTTACGGTAAACTAGGGGACTCAAGCGCGGGACTCCGTTGCTTAAAGAAAGAAAGAGGAATTCATTTACAAATGCCAGATGATATGTACAACAATGAATAAGGTGCTATGTACAATAGTGCAAGAGTTGGGTCTCCAGGGGATCCAAGGGACAGGAATGGGGAAAACACTCTCACTTCTGTTCTGTCACACACAACGTTTTGCGAGCCACTCTGCTCTCATTCACACTCAAGTATCCACAAGGAATAGGAACAGGTCCAGGGTGTCTAAACACAACGAGAAGGCAAATTAGAACAAATGCACAATCCAAGAGAGTGATGCAAGCAGTCTCAAAGCCCGGGTTTCACTGACACAAGTCAAACAATGATTCAGCAATGAGTAGCCTCGCTTCTTCCCTTTAAGTAGTGGCAGGTTAATGACACGCCGGTGTTTATCATCCTACAGGTGTGTAGGCCAAAGGCAGAAACCCATAATGAGTTCTGCCCAGGCGACAGTGGGAGAGAGAGAACGAAGGAGAGAGAACAAGAGAGAAAGCAAAACAACAACAAAGCCCATTTGCTGCTGAATATTCCTCAGGCTGGTCTGCCGGGCCGTGACAAGTATTCTGTCGAACATGATAAAGCCCAAATAGCAAAGAGAAATTAAAATGCATGCCACGAAAGAGTTCGGGTCTTAGGACATTAATTAACACAATATCTGAATTAATATGATCTGGTACACCCAGTGTCCTCCTTTAGACTCACCCCTGTTCCCTTCAGCAGTCTGGTATCAGACTAAGTTAACAGTTCATCTGGATATTTTAATACAACTTCTGGAGGCTTACTGAAGCTTTTTTGCTGTGTAAAAAAACCCCAAAAAACAGCATTGGATGGAGTTCGCTTTCCATCATGTTGGAGTTTGTGGATCGGGTCCTTTGATGAAGAACTCCCAGCTTTAATGTGAATTTACATCAAAAAGTAAAAACCCATATTACAGGTGATATAGTCAAAACTTTCAAAGAGATAGTTGTAATTATAAGCCCAGTTAATAGTTTTACAACATTATATTGACTTTGACTGATGTATCATTTTATTCGAGTAAAAATGCATTACATGTACTTTTAGCACAAAATTAATAAAACCTAACAAACAACAATATTTTTCTGCAATTTTAAACCTCATTGTTTTAACTATTTACCGATACACTGTAAATAAAACACTGATTTACAGCAGTGTTTGACAATATTGATAGGTCATTTTACTGTTTTTATTCAGGTAAAGTCTGTCAAATCTGTTGTGTAATGTATCCTGTGGCTATAGAAATGGCTTTTAACGTTTGAAAAAAGTAACACTGATAATCTCAAAGATGATCATGCGTTGCATTATATGAAATGTAGGCATCTGTATTTCTTTCACATTTTAGAAATATATCATAAACTGAAGTTTGAAATACATGTCTTTATGTGTTTGACCCTGAAATCCTTTTAAAAATCCCTAAAGTGTATAAAGGACAAGTTTTAAAGAGTTTTGGTGAACTGACAAAAAAATCTTGTTAAACGTAAAGGTGGTATATTGGGAAATGAGGACACACAAACAGTATATAAATGCAACTGTTTGCTTAAGTTCACAAACTGCACTGATCAGTTTATTTAAGGGTGTTTTCTCAAGAAATATAAGTACTGTTTTGACTAAAACAGTCATACTTGTTGGACATCCTTGAATCAAGTATGCTTTAATATTTTGTATTTGCAGTATGAGGCAAACAATATGAGGCCAGCAGCTAATAAGTGTTGTAAGACGATTTGTCTGTTAATGATATTTAACCAAGATTTAAAATGATTTGAATTTGTGATTGATATGCAAACGTTCTACAGCAGAGGTGGGCAAACTATGGCCTGCAGGACACATCTGGCCTTTTGGTCTTTTTAGTCTGGCCTGCCAAAGATTGCTACAGAATTGCCCAAATCAAATAATATCATAATTATGACTACATTCATTTGACTGACATTCCACCAGGTGATGCATTAGGCAGAGTTGCAATTGGAACTGATTGATCTCCAATGTGACATTGCCTTAGGAGAAGTTCAACTTTCTTAAACTGGATGAGTTTTATACTTTATTAAGACCAACAAAATCTACAAAAATCCAGAAGCTGGCACGGAGGATGCTGATGTTTTTGGCGCTACGTGTGTGTGTTTGTGAACAGTCTTTTAGTGTGATGAACACCAACAAAAGAACCCCACAGGTCCCATTTGAGTGATGAACACCTCTGATCTGTTCTGAGAATTGCCACAACAAAACTAACACCAGACTTTGATGCACTGGCAAAAAAGGTTGATCAACCACACTGTTACCACTAAAAGTAAATGTAAGTATTAACACTGAAATTCCTTTGTAAACAATGAATGGCGAACCCGACCACATTGTCATACTTTCCAGCACAGTGTAGCCCCTGAGTTTGCACAACCCTTTTCTACAGTATAACTCTCTTTCAGACAAATCACCCAGCAAAGCATATTTCATTTAACTAAAATAATCTAATTAGTTTTAACTTTCTGTTTAACAACAAAGTGTAGAATAAATGCCTATTAATCTCTTAATAGTAATCTCTTAATCTCTAACCTCTTACTCTATCTATTGTCATTTATTAGATTTGGGTCAGATTAGAAACTTCACTGAAGTAACACAGTGGATTTTTTCTGTGTAATCGTTTCATTAGAATTCACATGGTTAGATGTATTATTTTGGCACCACAATCTCCAAATCCTTATTTCTTTATTTTCTTTCTTTCTTTAATAAAATTATGTAGACATGAGCCATTTTGCAATCTGGGATACTTTATTTGTTCATTTGAACAGGTGGAAGGACATTTTCCACAGTAAGAAAAAATTTTCTCTACTTTTAAACCAAATGTTTTCTAGTAATTCAGCACAGTTCACACTTAAAGTTGTGCCACGAAAAAACTTGCCAGTGGCCTCTGCAGGGCAGAATCAGCAGACATAAGCCAGCAGTTCTTTGTGACAGGAGGGTCGACGCTGTAGTCAGTAGCGTTGTCACTACAAAAGCAAAACAAGCTCATGTCTTGGTGGAATCTTAAACAGTTTTATGTTTTGAATGAATAAACTGTAAACATTACAAAAAATTTACCTTGTAACATCTATCTCTTGGTTTTTAATCTTTAGTTTTGTGACAGGAACTTGCTGCACCACCTCATACACTGCAGGCTTTACAGCTGGAAAAAGGGAGTAAAACAATGAAACAAGAACTGACACTGAAAACCAGATACTAAAACAGACACAGCAACAAGATACTTTTACAGAAACCACTTATGCTCAGTGCAAACTTTGTTAATATTCTTAACATGACACTGACAAATTCATTTATTTCTTAAGCAATGAACAAAGTATGTGCATGCATGTCGTTTCACTCACCTAAAAGTCCTTCGATGTCGTTGGTTGAGGGTTGCTGTCTTAAAACAGGCCAAAGGAGTCTTTGGCCATTTTTCTCATGTTGTGAGATGACCAGGAGAATGTCATCAGATGCAATGTGAATTTCAGTGTCGCGCACAATCACTGTCACACTGGAAAAATATGGACTTTATATGAATATTTTAAAGCTCTTTGAAGATTTTAAAAACCTTCACAGATCATTTCACTAGTCTTGGCTGACTACTGTCCGACTGAGGGCTGTAATAGACATTTCACAATGTCACAACTCCATGTAATCCAATAAACTTGCTTCTATCTGGAAGGTACAACAAGGCAATGATACGGTAATAGAAACTTTTCTAAGCTTGACAAAAGCTAGTGTCATTGAAAATAAGTCAAGCCACTTTTTGTGGTTCACCATGAGTGTGCAGGGCCTTTGATTCAAGCATTGGTTGTAAAAAAAAAAATCATGAAATTAATGAAAACTTTATAAATATTACAATCCCAAAATATCAGCACACACCTTTGGATTTCCTCCTACTCGATCGAAGATTGATAATCGTCACTTATGTATCTTCACTTGGGTGTTTCTGTATAGATCTGCATACATGCATGAATCCCTGACAGTGTTTTGATGATTGTCCTACAGGCCTGTCCTCCAAGCCTCTGGGAAATCTGTATGTGCATGTGCTCTAGTGCAGCTGCCAGGCATCTCGATACCTGGTGGTGTGTCAAGTTGTATCTTCTATGTGTCAGACTGGTATTACAAGCAATCAGTAGCTGTGTCCCAATACAGGGGCTGCATCCTTCGGAGGCCGCATTTGAAGGCCGATTATGTCCCAGCCAGGTGACGAAGGCTGTCCCAATTCGAGGGCTGCTCCAAATGCGGCCCACAAATGTGTCCTCCTATTCCCCCGATTTGAAGGATGGGTCAAGTGGTCAGGCCCAGCATATCCCAGGATTCATAGCACAGCGGTGGATAGTTCTGTTTGTTTGTTTTTGAAAAAAATGGCCAACGGCTGAAGGGGGGCAGCCGAAGAGTACATATTTAAAATTAAGTATTGAATTTTATATCACTTATTTATGTGGCAATGCAAATGTTTTAATTAGAGATGGCACGATACCACTTTTTTTATGTCCGATACCGATATCATAAATTTGGATATCTGCCGATACCAATATGAATCCGATATAGTGTTTTTTAATCAACAAAACTGTTTTTTTAAATATCTTGCTGCATTTTGTATAAGTTCATACTCAAGTTTAAAACAACAACTACACTAAAGCTATTCTGTTATACCTGTATGCAAAAAAAAAATATTTCATAGTTCAGCAATACTGATCAATCTAATAAACTTAAACCTACACCATCCTCCCTATTCTGGCATTTTAAAGAGTACTTAGCATAAATATTAAGCAACCTAACTAATAGGGTTCCAACTCCCAGCAACAACAAAAATAAATAAATAAAAAATGGGGAACCACCCCTCACGCTCCACCTCATGATGCTTAATCGACGTAATCAACCTTAATTTGATGCAGTGTGAAAAAAAATGCACAGAAATCAATTATTTTTCAAGAAATATTAAATAGATTCAACATCTTTCTTCAACAGAATTGCAGACTGCACAGATGGTACCTTCCCAAAGGAAAAAGTACTATAGCTTACTAGGGTATATATATATATATTAGACTTAATAGTTACTATATACAGTAATGGACTTCTATTCATTTTGCATCAAATTAAAACTTTGGGTGTCAGATAATTATTTATTAAAAGCTAGACATTTTAAATGAGAATAAGAAAGAAAAGTATGTCTTTGTGCCCCTTTTCCCTGTTCATGCCCTATCGGCCCCCCTGGCTAAACTTTGCTAGATCCGCCCCTGCACAGTTACCAGCCGTCAGCTACATAGAAAAAGATCCTCGAGTAGAAAGTAATATTAAATACATTCTAACAACAGCTTATCAAGCTTAAACGTGCTGCTGTTGTTTATCCGCTGGTTTCCTCTTTCTGGTGCAAAGTGGGCCAAAAACAAACCAGAGAGACCGACTCGCGACAGAAAAGCCGATCAGTTGATCATTAAGCAGTTTCATGATTGAAGTAGCAGCAAGAACAGGCAGTCGCTTGTTAAGCTTAACGCAGGAATGCTTTACATTCAGAGATGGACTTACACACTTGCTTTACTTCTCTCGGGGATAACTTTGTCGGAGATGAAATGCCGGGTTGCTAGCGAAGCTCCACATGCTATCCAGACCACCGACAGGTCCCGCATGCCACAGCCGCTCTATCACATGATGCATACTGCTCCGACGTGCTAACGTTCTGAGGTGAGTTACGGGTGTTGCAAGTTTTGTGAGGTGCTTTCGTGATATTTAATGGATCGGATTACATTTTTTATTTTTCTCCGATATCCGATCCAGTAATTTAGGTCAGTATCGGACCGATACCGATACGTAATATCGGATTGGTCCATCTCTAGTTTTAATAACAAAGAACATTAAAACATTACTGTTGGCCACATGGTGGCAACGTCACGTGACATTAGTGATGTTAGTGCCAACGGTTCACTTGTTAAGCTAAAAAAAAGGTGCTTTAATCATAGGAGCCAAACATGTGGCCAATGTACCGACTGGGCCGGCAGCCTTAACATGAAATTTCCCCTTGTGGGACTAATAAAGGTATCTTATCTTATTTAGTACTCCTTATATAACAAACAGAAAATACTCATTCTCTGTTGCTGTTTTTAGTAGTGTTTGCCACCTGAGACTTTCACCTTTCTGTCTGTCCTGCACTTTTCCCTTCTCTCTTTTTCTTTCTCTCTGATTGTTAAATAAAAGAATAAGATTTCCATGTTTGAGAACTGCAAGTTGCCAGAGTGAGGACAGACTAAGGAACCCGCTGCTGCAGATCATCTGTGAGGTTTTGCACCCCTGATGACCCACCAGGACAAACTAAGCAGAGTCTGAGGAAGAGGTAAATGGTAAATGGCCTGTATTTGTATAGTTCTTTACTTAGTCCCTAAGGACCCCAAAGAGGAGGAGGAAGAGCCAGCACCAGCTGAGAGAGAGTGTTCCCTCTTTGTGAAGGACTGCTAGAAATGTTTAAAATAACCAATTGTCTGTCCTAATTATCAGTCTTATTAGGTAATGTTAAAATGAGTTTATCATTCAACTGTTTTTAGAGTCAGAAAAAGTATTCAAGGCCTTCAAGTTAAAAACTATGAAGGCAGTAAAACATGTTTATATTAGGGAATATTTAATATATTGGTCTACATTTTCATTTTTCATTTTATCACAAACAGACAGTTATCCCAGCTCATAGATTTTCTTTTTACCCATATATGTAAGCATTCAGACAAATTTAATAATGCCAACATATTTACAAAACAATATTTATCTCTCTTATATACAATACATCTATATTTACACTATAAAAGATGTACTGTGTTTGAGATGAAGATATAAAGTGATAGGAATAAATAAATGCAACTTGAATCTTTATTAAAGCTCAGTATTTGAAACACAGTTCAAGTTCAGTGCTGTATGTTTTTAATTTAATACAATAAATGTAATATTGACCATATCATATTTACATGACCAAAATGAGATGGCACAAGTCTCATGAACAACATTAGTTGTTATTACTAATTGTTACTAATTGTTATTTATTACCTAATCTTAAAATTATTGTTTGGTATAGAAATGAAGCCCAACAATCATGTTTTTAAAGTCCTGTGGTCTCAGCCTCAGATACTTAACAAATAAAAAAAAACCTCATGAAACAAGAAAAAGATGATTTTTTTTGCCTTCATTCTGTCAAACCATCCTCTATAAAACGTTTCTAGCGGCTAGAAGCATGGTTGCTGGGCAACCTGAGCAGTGCGACTGAGGCTAGACAATCCCATTTAACAGCCTCAGACTTCCGGCCTTCTCAGCCTTCGAAGGACCCAGCTTACATAGACAGCAGAGGCTGAATCCTTCGAAAGATGCGATTCCTGAATTGGGACACAGCTAATACGTGCTTGAGACTGACTGGAACTGAACAGTGGGGACAGGATGGGACAGGTGATGGAAGGATATCATATGTTGTATGGCTAAAGAAGCTTATCCCATTTGTCTCCGCAGGCCATTTTAAGATGATGCTTCGATCAGTGGTTGTTGATCAATGGTCAGGACAATTTGCATATCAATGGCCAAGAAACTGACCTCACAGCCCATTGTTCATTCAGTGCTAGTTTCAGTCATTGTGCAAATGTACTGTTTATAAGGTTTGGGAAACTTGCAGTCAACTGAGACTGGAAAGGTCACTTGGATGAGTGACAAATTTCTGCCACTGAAAACGCTGATGATGAAAAGAATCTATTATTGCTGTATAAATTGAATTGAATTGGATGAACAGAATTAATTTTTTGGCCTTTCTGCAAGGTGTTCCTAGCTTTTCCCATCCAAAACCTTTTTTGTCCTGGTATATTTGCCTTACAATATTCCAATATTGAAGAGTTGCTGTTGCATCCAGAAATTATTTTGTTGGATTCTTTTTCTTTCCTGTTACTAAAGAGTGAGACCTCTCACCACCATGTTCTTGGTTTCTCTGGGTATCTCAGCTTGAGAGCTTGTGTGTTGGATGGTTAAAGCAAAAGGACATAATTTGAGCCTTTTAAAAAATATAAAGTAAATATTGTGCTACGAAGCTTATACACTGCTACTGATGTGTTTGTAGTTGTGATAGAAATTAACCTTTTATTTTAATTTTATGGCAGACATGTTTAAATTAGTGAGATTTGGCCAAATCTCACAAAATACTCCGTACAAAAAAGTGTAGAATCAAAATAATAAATAGCCCAAACTGCCCTTTTAAGGTTTCATTTCCCAGCAAATGTTTTGTCATATATATAACTGACATCAGAGATGTATATACTGATTGCCTCATGTAAATCCTGGGAAAAGAACTGAATAAGGGCACACATCTGTAAACAATACTGTGAGAACATACGTTTTGACCATTATATTGCAAAATCACCTGCCAACTGTTGAGGGATCCTGTCCAGCAGCTTGATATGTCACTGTCTGTCCATCTCGTACAGTGACCCTCTGTGATTCAGCATCAACCTCAACATGCTGGTGAGTTTTGAGGTGTATAAAAATTTTGCTGAAACCTCCGGTTGCAATTGAATCTAGCTCACCATTAACAGACAGGTCTAGAACAAAAGAGAAATGCTGCTGTTTAACCACTAGGGGAGAAATATGAAAATACTCACGAGAAAGACTACTACTGACCTCTGCTGGGGTGGTGAAATAGTTTAAGGATTATAGCTCCACTGAAGTCAAAGCAAAGTGGAACAGTCTGATTCCCAGTTGAGTTGAGCAAAAACCTGTGGAGAAGAGGAGCTGGAGGTATAGAGACAAAAAGTTAGACTGGAATCTGAAAATAAAGACCTGTGCAATCAACACTTACTCAACTCTTTTAATGCATTGGGCATTTTTGAATTTTTTTTTCAGAGTTTTGGAAAAGTAAACATAAAACACTTCTTTAATTTTACATACTTTGTCTATTTCACAATTCTGAAAATGAATCAATTTTTATATTAAAAAAAAAGTTTCCCATGCAGTCATAGAATGTTAGAAAACTTGCCTTAAGTTAAGAAAGTGTCATGGTGATATAGATTTTTTTAAATTTTCACCTCTAAATACAACTTTTCCAATAAAAGTGTAAGTGACTTTATCATGCATAGCACTAAAGACCATTTTATCCAAAAATTGTTTTTCCCCTTTTCTTTTTTTTTGAGGATTTTTTTCCCAAAGTCCCCTCTTTAAAGTCTTTGATTTTCTTAGAAAAAAAAAAGTATTCCATCTATACAATACAGTACCGTCAGTTACTTCAATTGGGACATGGATAGCCTTTAAATAACCTGCAAATAATTTAAACAGCACTAGTTACATACCAGAAAATTTCAGATCTCTGGTTGACATTGCATGACAGTAAAAAATCTTTGACTGTCTTAGAACAAAAAAAGTATTCCATGTATGCAATACAGTACCTGCATCTTCATAGAGCACGTCATCGTAGGAACTAAACCCATGATGTAAATCAGCAGCTGTAAAAAACATTTACACACATTACATAAAGTTAATATTGCTAGAGGCAATGCAGGGGACATAATAATAAATAAGGATAACTAATTCATTTATAATTGAGTTTAATTAATGCTTTTACTAACATCCATGCCCTGACACTAAAGTTCTTAACTAAATCTTTAAATAGCTCACTCACACACACACACACACACACACACACACACACACACACACACACACACACACACACACACA